AGAAGAAGGATGAGGCTTTGAGTGCAATGGCGGGGTGGAAGGCGGTGAAGAGTGAAGGGAATGGCAATCTGGGTGGCTCTGTGGAAGGGAACACTGGCTTTAGTGGTGAAGGACAGTCGGGGTTTGAGCTTGACGTGGATGGTTCATTGCCTTTTTACATAATTGATGCTCACGAGGAGATTTATGGTGCTAATATGGGTACTCTTTATCTGTTTGGGAAGGTAATTGGTATTCTTAATGATTTAATTGTAGCTCCTTTGAAGAAACTTTCATCGTGCTATGATTGGTTTTTTGCTTTAAATTTGGATGTGAATTCTGTTTTCTATATTTGTATCATGATCTAAGAAATGCTATTGCTGGTCTGAAATGGCTAACTGAATTTAGGTCAAAGTTGGGAATGGATACCAAAGTTGCTCTGTCGTTGTAAAGAATATGCAGAGATGTGTTTATGCAATCCCAAATAATTCTGTATTTCACACTGATGAGATGGTGAAACTTGAGAAAGATGGGGAAGAGTCCAAGATTTCTTCTTCTGGTTTCCGAACAAAGCTTCATGTAAGTTGTTTTTTCATCTTCATTTTTTCTTTTGGTGTTTTTACCTTTGGGGATTGTAATTGATGCTTCTCTCCAATTTTGTTCATCAAGGATGTGGCATCAGGATTGAAGAATGAAGTTGCAAAACACTTGTTAAATCTTAATGTTTCAAGTTTTTCCATGGCCCCGGTTAAGGTTTGCCGATTCAATCAATCTGACTCTTCTGATTTGATTATGTCCTGCTTAATCTAGTCCATTATTTGTCTTTTCTCTTGACTTTATCCTGATTCTTCTTGTTGCTTTGGTTGTTGAATGGATGATCAAATTTCAGAGGCGATATGCTTTCGAGAGATCTGACATACCTGTTGGGGAGAATTATGTGCTCAAGATTAACTATCCATTCAAGGTAAATCACTAGAGCTGTGAATTGAAAATCATGGTTTCACTCTAGAGTTTATTTTTACATTTTTTTTTCATGTGATTTATGTATTGTTTAATTTAGTAGAGTTTAGAGTCTAAAATGTCATTCTTTTTAAGTTGTCCACAAACCATGATTCCAATGTCACTAATAGATAAAGTAGTTACTTTTTCTATTGTTGATTGTTACCTTATGTTAAAAGTTGTTTTTCGTCCTCATTTTTCCAGGATCCACCACTTCCAGCAGATCTGAAAGGAGAAACGTTCTGTGCTCTGCTTGGGACTCGCAGCAGGTTTTAAGTAGTTTGAACATTTCTTTTAAAAGGAAAAAAATGATACACTGCAGCAGAATGTATAATGGTTTTGAATCGCTTTTGCCGGCGACTGCTGTTAAAATCTTTAATTCATGTGTGTTTGTATATCTATACAAGGATTTAGATTTAAAGGTACTGCATAACTCAATCACACCCAACCGGTTATGACTTGATAGCAGGGTAACATACAAAAGATCATACATAGATGCATGCAAATGTGTCACTTTTTCAGTTAAAGTTTATTTGCCAATTTTATTGTCACATATGTTTGGTAAATTATGCCAGGCTGCTTGGTGCACTTTAGCTCATTTGAAGTTCAGGATGCTGTGCTTCTCAATCAAAAATTGTTGAAATCTTTAAAATGATCATTAGCTGGTTTGTTGTACTATGCCGAAAAAAATGCATGAACCTGGATTTCTAGAGATTCATATATAAGCCCCTTAGAAAATAAATGATTCTATTTGGTAGAGATTTCATTTGAAGAGGATTTGCATTCTTAACTTTCTAATGCGGTATTATGAGTTATCAGCCTTTTGAAAATTTTCCCAATTGTTGTAGCGTTATTCTAGCTTTTAGTTTTGCAAAGCCCTTTCTCACTTGCCATATGGGGAAAATGTTGAGTCAAGTTGATTTCTTGGTATGAACTAGATTGATTGGCTGGCAATATATCTTATTCTTTTGTCTATGACATGCAATGAAATTTAATAGCATCAAATTTGACTGGATTTTCTTGCAGAAGACATTCTTGATGAGTTTCTGTTAAATCTAAATATTTTTTTGAGGATTAGACAATGTAATAACATTTGGTTTTTTTACTAAAAAAATGAAAGGATTACTGACTGGTATCATCACTTGCAGTGCATTGGAGCTTTTCCTTGTTAAAAGGAAGGTGAAGGGGCCTTCTTGGCTGTCAGTTTCAAATTTTTCTACATGTTCGGCTTCTCAGAGGGTGAGATTCTTGAACCTAGGCATCTTGTGTGATTTGAGCTGATTCTACCAATTCTTTATAGTTTTTTTCCAGTTCTTATGTTGACAGTTTGGTTAAACTCTGATAGATCAGCTGGTGCAAGTATGAGGTTATTATTGACTCGCCCAAAGACATTCGGATTTCATCTTCATCAAAGTGCACGACAGAAATTCCCCCTATTGTTGTTTCAGCTATAAATTTGAAGACTATCATCAACGAGAGGCAGAATATAAATGAAGTAGTCTCAGCATCCATTATCTGCTGTCGCAGAGCTAAGGTTAGTTGAAGAGGCCTTTTCTGGCTATATGCTATTTCATAGTGAATTTAGGCATGTTTTGTCAAGAATGCTTTTTAAATAGTCTTTGTTCATGTAATTTAGCCCACTTTCTTCCCAAGTAGGGTAAGCTGCTTGCAATTTTATTTCTGGAATAGATATAACAACAAACATTGCTTCCTACATATTATGGAGGTATATGGATCTTAGAAGAATTAGTGCATTTTTAAGCTTAGCTGAGTCTTTTAGGTGCATTAATAATTGATTCACAGTGTTTAGTTGATAGCTTGCATAATTCAACATACTTTCAGGCTGGTCAGTTGTTTAGGCACTATATATATGCAGCTTGGTATTTATAGGCTTTAATTCCCCATTCCTTTTAAGAAACCATCTTGATTGCTTTAATAATTGATTCACACTGTTTAGATGATAGCTTGCATAATTCAACCTACTTTCAGGCGGGTCAGCTGTTTAGGCACTATATATACGCAGCTTGATATTTATAGGCTTTAATTCCACATTCCTTTTGGGAAACCATCTCGATTCCGTGTTGCAGTAATATGCTATCGTTGATATACTCAACGTTCTGTAATATTAGCTTAAGCATGGTATATGTTGGTTTAGATTTAGCTCACACAAGTTTCTGTTTTGACCTAGAATAATATATTATGTGCTGTTTGGGCTTTCAGATAGACACTCCTATGTTGGCTTCAGAATGGAAGAAACCTGGTCTCCTCAGCCACTTTACTGTTGTTCGCAAACTTGATGGAGGCATTTTTCCAATGGGGTTTACCAAAGAGGTGACAGATAGAAACTCAAAAGCTGGATCAAATGTTTTAGTCTCTGAAAGCAGGTAAGTTACATGGTGTCTACCATCAAAATTTTTGATGTTGCCTCAAACATGATTTTAACCTTGAATATTTATATTTTAGTGGCTGTTGTTGAAGTATCTTTCCACACTATGTTGCAGTGAAAGAGCTTTATTAAATCGGCTGATGATTGAGTTATACAAGTTGGACAGTGATGTTCTTCTCGGACATAATATATCTGGGTTTGACCTGGATGTTCTCCTGCACAGAGCCCAGGTGGGGGATCACCTCAAAGTGCTTTACTCTAAGAGTGTTTGTAGGCTACTCTTGATTTACATCCTCAGCCGCTGACAAAAGATTATGGGCAGGCTGGTAGCAGGCTACAATCTGCTGCCGCTTTTGTATATCAAAGCAAGAAGTTGGCATTCAATTGATAGCTTAATGCATTTGCTGATTTACATAACTAATACAAAGAAGTTGGTGATATTGGATCACTGTTAATCAATATGTCAATTTACACATTAAAGTTTCTCTTATATACAATTCATTTTGAGCTGCCATTAAATTTCATTTTCTTGATGTTATAGTTAGCCTTCCCGTGTATTATCAAATGTTTAGATGGCAATAAGGGTATTTAGTTCTTTGATTTATCTCCTCATCTTCTTCAAGTGTAAGCTGCCTCTGTACCTAACAGATGTCCATATAATGAGTTGCCTCTAACCTGATTGTCCTAATAAATTGCTCATATGCAGGCTTGCAAAGTACCAAGCAGTATGTGGTCCAAAATTGGCCGTCTGAAGCGTTCTATGATGCCCAAGTTAACAAAAGGAAGCACCATCTTCGGGTCTGGAGCGAGCCCAGGGATCATGTCATGCATTGCTGGTCGTCTTTTATGTGATACATATTTGTGTTCCCGTGACTTGTTAAAAGAGGTATTTCAATTGGTGCATTATGCCCTTGATGCAGTGTGTGAACTGTGCTCATGACAACCTTTGCTTATTAAACATGCAATTTTGGTTCTCAGGTTAGCTATTCTTTGACACAACTGTCAAAGACTCAGCTAAACAAAGACCGCAAGGAGATTGCTCCACACGATATTCCCAGAATGTTCCAAACATCTGAATTGCTCATGGAACTTGTAGGTTCTGAATACCATGTCTGGTACTATGATTTGGAGATTTTTTTTTTATAATGTTTGATTACATTTTGATTAGATGGCATTCATGCGTACAAAGAACATTGCTAAACATGCAATAAGATACGCAGCTTGCATGATGATTGATCTATGTTTTCTTGCCATGATTTAATATGTTGTAAATGAGATAATAACTTGCATCTTCCTGGCTAAGAGCATTTACTGGTTTCAATGATTATTTGCGCATTGTGACAAATTATGATGGACCATATTATTGGAACTTAAGCATTATAATTCTTACAATTGAGAAATATTCACTGGTACAGGATGTAATGCTTCTAATTATATTTGTGATGTGTTCAGATTGAATATGGTGAGACTGATGCATGGTTATCTATGGAACTCATGTTTCATCTGAGTGTTCTTCCCCTTACCCGCCAGCTGACCAATATCAGTGGTAATCTATGGGGAAAGACTCTCCAGGTGAGTTCTGCTTGGTTCTCCACATTCATTTATCTCAATGCCTGTTCATGGACTTGACATATGAGTGCATGTTCCTTTTCAGGGTGCTAGGGCACAAAGAGTAGAGTATCTTTTATTGACATATGAGTGCATGTTCCTTTTCAGGGTGCTAGGGCGCAAAGAGTAGAGTATCTTTTATTGCATGCATTTCATGCAAAAAAGTACATTGTCCCAGACAAGTCTTCATCTTACACAAAGGAAACAAAAGTTACAAAAAAGAGAATAAATGACGGGGTTGAGGGAAATGTAGATGAGGTGGATAACAATGATGTGAATTTTGATGAAACTCACAATGACCGCGGAAAAGGGAAAAAAGGTCCTGCATATGCTGGTGGATTAGTTTTGGAGCCAAAAAGAGGTCTATATGACAAGTATGTGTTGCTCCTGGATTTCAACAGTCTCTACCCTTCCATTATTCAGGTTAATAATGGTTTCACAAGCCCCTTGATATCTTTTTCTATTAATATTCAGATTTGAATTTTACTCTCATTTTTGCTCCTTTTCAAGGTAATGGTGATATGTGCTCGCATATAGTCTTTTAATGAGCATTGGCATCTAATCTGATTTTGCAGGAATACAATATATGCTTCACAACAGTTGAAAGGTTTCCAGATGGATCAGTTCCTCGTTTGCCATCTAGTAAAACAACTGGAGTTCTACCTGAAGTAAAGATATCATGAATCCTTTTTTGCTAATTACATTTGAGCAATAGAATTCAGAAAATTGTTTATGAAACTTAAATCCATACCCTGCATCTTTATTTGTCTGTAAAATTCTGCTTTAAATAAATACTCCCATAGTCTTAAGGTGTAATCCACTTTAGAAATGCTCTAAGTTTAATTGCCTTTACATGATAGTCTTAACCTTTTGTCCTTGACTGCATTTTGTGTTTTGTGATAGTTTGTAATAAAAGGACACAGCAGAGAAATTAACATGTAATGCATATCTATTATCCATTTATACTAATGGACAAAATTTTGAGATAAGCCAAAATGGAAGGAGGTTTTTTTTTGGGTATCTTGAAAAGAAAATACAGAGCCTGCGAGAGAAGGAATTGGAGAGGTAATAATTTATTGTTTTGAAAATTTGCAAGTAGAAAAGGCTTTTATAAATCTTGAGTGCGAGATTATTAAGATTAGTTGGAACTAGTTACTGTTTTAGTGATGAATTAAATCAGGAAAAAGAAATTGTGAGATTGTGTCTTAAACTTATTAAAATCTGTGTATGATCACTGTTTGAAGTTCCATTGGCTCTTTTACATATGCAACTTTTCTCTAAAGGATGTGTGTGGTGCACTGTTTATTTACTCCCAATTCTTCGTACATATATTTAGGTAGATAATTTGTTTTACATACCCTTTTGTAGTTGCTGAAAAATTTGGTTCAGAGAAGGAGAATGGTAAAGTCATGGATGAAAAATGCATCTGGTATTAAGGTCCAGCAACTTGATATTCAGCAGCAGGCTCTCAAGCTCACTGCAAATAGGTGTGTGTGTATATCAGTTAGTATTCCTATTACTTTTGGGTTCATTTGTTTGAATAATGAAATAGTGGTGACCATCTCATTCTTAAACATCACAATCCATTAATTTGATTCAAAGTCTTTATTATTCTATTGCCAAAAGCCTATTTAGCTGTAGTTGGAACTTTCAGTTTTGCTTCTTGTGATGTTTTAGTGACAATTCTTGTTTGTAGTTTGATGGTACTTCCTTGTAGATGACCTGATAATATTTTCCCTGCAGTATGTATGGATGCCTTGGGTTTTCTAATTCGAGATTTTACGCAAAGCCTCTTGCAGAGCTTATTACACAACAAGTAAGAGAGATACATGTAGCATATGCAGAAATATGAAGATCCATGTTCTACAATTAAAATGATGCTGGCTTTTATATTGTTTATTTCCTTGTGATATGAGCAAAGTTACATTGCTGTTGTGCAGGGAAGGGAGATTCTACAAAGCACTGTTGATCTTGTTCAGAATAATTTAAACTTGGAGGTAGTCTCTTATGTGCTGATATTTAGGAGCTTTTGAATAGAACGGACTGATATCATATCCAATGTATTAAGCGCCTAAAGATGAGTAATTTTGCATGTGGCAGGTAATTTATGGTGACACGGATTCAATAATGGTTTACAGCGGACTAGATGATATTGCAAAAACAAAAACAATTGCAGGAAAAGTCATCCAAGAGGTCAGTTTCTCATGATGTGCTTTACTTTCATTGGAGAATATTGTCTATGAATGTTGTAGTTTAAATGCTTTTGTGTGGCTATCTCTTGCATACTAAAATAGATTAAATTCATAAGAGCTCCAGTTTTAATGTGCTGCAGTTGTAACGTGATGCAAATAAGGTGTCTAGGGCTCGGAGTTTGATTATCAAAATTTGCTACAAGGGCTCATTTTTAACCAAAAACCTATAATAGATAAGAGCAAAGTCCAATGATCCCCAATTATTACTCTCTTGGAAAACATCCTATTGTCCTTTTCTTTCCTTTATAATTTGATGGTGGGCGCATTCAAAATTTTGCATCGTTCCTTTTGAAAGATTTAGATTTATGTTGAGGTCTTTAGTGAGAATTGGCATACACTACACAGCTGGTTTAATCTGCCAGCATGGGCATCTCTAGAGCAATCATTGTTGTTCTTTTCTTTTTTATTTTCAACTTTCGTTTTGTGTTACTCTGTGCAAGATGTAACTTCTCTGCTTCTTGTGTCTAGGTAAATAAAAGGTATAAGTGTCTAGAAATTGATCTTGATGGTCTGTACAAGAGAATGCTGCTTCTGAAGAAGAAAAAGTATGCAGCTATAAAGGTGCAGTTCAAGGATGGGACACCATATGAGGTAATTTTGAATACATTTCGCTAACTAACGTGGCTCTCAAAAAGATTGGAGATATAACCTTTTTGGTTCAGGTTATTGAACGCAAAGGTCTCGATATGGTTCGTCGTGACTGGAGCTTACTGGCTAAGGAATTGGGAGATTTCTGCCTTGGTCAAATCTTGTCTGGAGGGTATGCAATATTTTACTATTTCTATATTTTAACTTGTCATCTTTATTTTATATCAAGCTGGAAGTCCAGGCACTAATCAGAACTAGGTTACTGAGCTATGCAGTCACTTTGGCTTGTATGTTCACAGGTCTTGTGAGGATGTTGTTGAATCAATACATAACTCTCTCATGAAGGTAATTACCATCATCTATTCTGTTCTTTTGGTTGGATTTTGAAATGGGTAGAAAGTCTTAGCTCCTAGGGATCGTTCACCAATACAAAGGTTTCAAGGTGCTACTTCTTTTGCTTTAGTGCATCTGAACTTTGGAAGGTGAAAGAAATTGCGCACTTATTCTGCTATTATATGATTGACTTGCTCTGCTTGTAATTGAGAAGTTGCTGACTATCAACGTTGTATGTTTAACAGGTACAGGAAGAAATGAGGAATGGACAAGTAGCACTTGAGAAATACATCATCACGAAAACATTGACTAAACCACCTGAAGCCTATCCTGATGCCAAAAATCAACCGCACGTTCAGGTGATTTCAAATGCCAGCAGTTGGTCTTGCATGCTTTATAACTTTATCTTATGTGATTTGACCTACCATTTATGTATCCCATTCCACTGATATTGCTTGAACTGATTTCTAGGTGGCTCTGAGATTGAAGCAAAGTGGTTATTCTACTGGTTGCTCAGCTGGTGACACAATTCCATACATAATTTGCTGTGAACAGGTATCTTTATCACTGAACCTTTTTTTTATAAAATCACATCTGAACTTTGAGCACAGGATACCTTCACATTTTGAGGTTATATTGATCTCAATCTGAGTTTTGTTTTTTCCATGTTCTTCTGTCATTTTTGGGATAGGGGACTAGTTTGAGTAATTCGGCAGGGATTGCTCACCGTGCCAGGCATCCTGATGAGTTGAAAAAAGATGAGGGGAAATGGATGATCGACATTGATTACTACTTGTCACAGCAGATCCATCCAGTGGTATCCCGTTTATGTGCTTCAATTCAAGGAACAAGCCCAGAGCGGTTGGCTGATTGTTTAGGACTTGACCCATCCAAGGTAATACCTTCAGGCCAGCGTGGATTTGAATGTAAATCTATGTTCTTTCTTGCATACGCTTACTTTACCAATAATGTTCTTATTTATTGTTTTCTTCCAGTTCCAAAGTAAATTAAGTGAAGCTGTCAGCAATGACCCTGCTGGTTCGCTCTTGTTTGCTGTAGATGATAATGAGAGGTAACTATTTTATTGTGTCCAAGTACTATGCTGTATGAACATAATGATGCATTTCTCCCATGAAAAGAAAGGGCGCTAAGGCATGAGGTGGATTGTGTTGCAGATATCGAGGTTGTGAGCCATTGACCTTGTCATGTCCAAGCTGTTCAGGTACTTTTGACTGCCCTGCTGTATTCAGTTCCGTTTGTATGTTAACTGGTGAGAAGCCAACGAAACTGCAACAAGAGGAATCTACCTGCAATTTTTGGCGCAAGCTGCGCTGCCCTAAATGTCCTGCCGAAGGTGATCTGGGTAGAATATCTCCTGGAATGATAGCAAACCAGGTATTTATAGAGTTTTTCTTCCCCCTTTTGATAACCACGTAGTGCTAAAATGGCCTGTGATTCTGTAATCGAAGTATATTTTGCCTTCTCCTTTAAAGGCCTTTGCCTTTCTGTTTGTGCGTGTAAACCGTTCTTTGAAAATTCAATATTACTTACAAATATTGATGGTAGAGGTAATCTACTTAAATTCCCTATATGTTAAAGATGTGTGCTTTGCCCTGTCTGTCAGGTCAAAAGGCAAGTGGATGGGTTTATTTCAATGTACTACAAGGGCTTAATGATGGTAATCTATCTCTTACAAAGTACTTGATATACTACTTAAAAAGTTTGGGTTTATTAGCAATTATTAAATCTGATAACGTGTTCGCTTTTGCTTTCAGTGTGATGATGAAACTTGCAAGCACACAACTCGAAGTCTGAACCTGCAGTTGGTTGGTGATTCTGAGAAAGGAACAGTTTGTCCAAACTATCCCCGCTGCAACGGGCGTCTTGTGAGGAAGGTTTCATGAAAATTTCACCAAATCTAATGCATTTTTATACTTTATTCTTCTTCTAGCATATTTGTTATTTAGCTGAGCAATTTTTCCTCTTATATAGTACACTGAAGCAGATCTATACAAGCAACTCTCATATTTCTGTCATCTCTTGGATACCACACGCAGCATAGAAAAGGTTGTTATATTTCGCTGTTTTTTTTGTTGTTATAAATTGGCCAACGGTGAAAAGCTGTTGTTGTCGTGATCAGTATTGAACTGATTGATCTTGGTCCTGTTGCAGATGGAGACCAGTGCGAGGATACCGCTAGAGAAAGAGTTAGCCAAAGTTCGGCCACTTGTTGATTTGGCTGCATCTACAGTTGAAAGAATTCGAGACCGATGCTCCTTTGGTTGGGTGCGGATGAATGACCTTATTATCGCAGTTTGAATCACGTTTAGGTTCTTTCTTATTATTCTAATTCTGCCCGTAAATATTTATGAACCTAGGTATCATCGGCTGACGAAATATAAGTAGCAAAATTAAGTCCTATTTTTTATTTCTATAAATTTGCTAATATGGTTAAACCACCATTTTGGTATACAGATGACAAGTTCTTCGGAAACTGAGTATTTCTCGTCCTTAAATTTCACTAATCTACGTTCTGATCAAGAGCTGGTCATGGGCCAAGTTGGGCCAGCAGGTGGATTTCGGGTCCAACTTAAGGTCTGCCTAAGCCTATCTAAACTCAGCCCACAGAATACCTCAGCTACAATGGCAAATCCAAATAATAATCAAAATTAAACGAGAATTTGGAGGAAGAAAGAGCCATTATTCATTTTATTAAGCATAGAGAAAAATAATGGATTATTAGGATTAAAGGCAGACAACAATCTGACGTATAAAAGACTGAAGAGGCTCCTCCAACTCCATTGGACTCAGTACTTGCTTCTTGCAATTTGTACACTTTCCATGGCATTTATCCCGGCTGTCACTGCAGCTCCCCGACAGGCGCCTCGTTGAGCCACAGGAAGTGGATGAAATCATACAGTTTTGCACTTACGCTCACCTGTTTGGTGTTTAGAAAATACTTTTATATCAGCAACAAGGTTGGCCCCACACAAAAAACAAAAGGAATATTTGGAAGAAGGTTAGCCTGCAATACCTTGTACGGTGTAGGGTTTAATCTCCTGATGTGATCAGGCCTCATTTGCTCAAGCTGTTTGATGCAATGGTCCCTAATGTCCTTGAGAGCTGGTAACTCTTCTCTTACTTTATCTTCAAGAGGGGATAAAAAGTTTATTTCAGGAAATGTGAATAAACATATTGCTGACAGGCCTCTCTTCTGTTCAACAGTAAGTTACTATAATTCAATCCTAACTATGGAGCCTAAGACCTAGAAGTGATTCAATACTTAATGTGGCAAGGTAACAGGGATATAATGTTTTCTCAAATGGATTCTTCATGTTCAACAGAGGTTTGAGACTACTGAATTAATGTGATTATTGGTTCAGCTCCTTGATAGGATTTGAACTATACTCTTCCATGGTGATTAATTAAAAAATGGATTATTCTTAGTTCCTACCTGACTTCCCAGGCCAGTAGCACTTCAGAAGCTCTTCCACACGCTGTGGTACCACATATGCTCTTTTGGATTCATTAAAAGGGTGACGGCATAGAATACGTTCTCCCACCTGCAGATTTGAAAATAGAGAAAATGAGGTCATTCGGCCTAATCATCCATGGAGTTAAGTCTATATTGTTGTAGTGCATACAGTTATTAGTGGTAGGTGACATAACAGAGAAATGTAAAAGAATCCAAGTAAAAGAAGATTTCGTTGGAATCAAAATGAATGAACCAGTAGCTTTAATGGTCAATTTTTTATATCCCACAACAAGTACACTATGAAGTCAAACTTTAACACGTGAGTATCGGTAAAGTTGATTAGTTTTTCATATTACTTATTCAACATTGATTTTGGGATGTGGATAACCAATAAGATTACATGCTGTCCAAATGTTAGACTGGCATGTTAGCCTTGAATACGTAGACAATGCATATAACTTAAGCATATATTTAAGTAAAAAGAATAAAAACTCAGTATCTTTCTATGTTGAATTCTCAGGTTTCCAAAGTTAAAACTAAATCCAAAAATGGCTGCAAAAATCTCTCTGTTCATATGCTCTTAACTACACGTCTTATGATACTACAAGTGAAAAAGGATGAGAATGTTGGTAACTAATATCTGAAAAGCTTTGCAGACTACACAACAAGAATTATGTGAACTATAAGTTAATACCTTTGGACATGGTTCATTTTCCCCTGTCATTATGTCCACCAGGGAATATCCTTCCTTGCCATATAATCTGTAACATCGTTTTTTGCATGGTATAGAGACCTAGCATTCAAAAATATAAATAAATAAAAGAAGAAGAGAGAAGAGATAAGGAAATGCATTATGATAGAAAAGAATGCTGCCGAAACTTCTCGGCAGCCAGGTCAAACCTTAGACACATCCTCCGACAGCTTGATGCGTGGCTGATTATTGATCTCAACAAGCTTGAAAACACAACCTAAAGCTGCTTGAGCATAGCAAGTGACCAGATTGGTTCCTATCCCAAAACAATCCACCTCGTGACCCTACAGAGAAAAAGGTTTGATCCCTCATGAGTTGATGTGTACAAGAGTAAATCATGCACCATATTGGAGGAACCGTCATCCTGATACAGGCCCTTAAAGAGTCAAGTAAATTATTCAACGAAATTTTAGGTTAGATGGACTACCTGCTTGTTTAGTGCATCCAAAGTTTCCTCATTCAAATCATTACTAGCAGTAATGCTCATCTTTCCAAAACCAGGAACCCCAAATTCTTTCTCAATTGTATGAAAGATCTTGCGGGCTTCGCTAGATAAGTATGCTAGATCACCAGAGTCCAGTCTAATGCCAACTACTTTGTACCTGCATAAACACAAAGTCAAAATGTAATGATACATTAATTCAATTTCTCTCTACCCATCAAACAAAGAATGCAACTGCTACAATCATTCAGCTTGACAATGTAAATTCGTGTTTGAAAGTCATCAGAAAAATTGGCAAAAAATTAATAAACTGAACATAGGCACAGATAAAATAACCAATGGGAGAAAAAAGGAATTATCATAACCCAATTTTCTGCAAGGGAGGAATTGTTCTTATAGGAAAAGAAACTTCTATATGTATAAGCCTTTGAGACATACCCCAAGTCACTAAGTGCCAAAGCAACTGCACAAAAGTTGGGGACTCCACTCCTCATTACCTGGTAAAATGGATGTAGAAACAGAAATTTTAACGCTGATATATGTTAAGACAAAATAGACTACATCAAATTTGACTTAAAGCTAAAATTCATGGAAGGTGCACTTACATCATATGTATCTACAAGAGCAAGAAAGTTGTTAGGGAACGCCAAGGCATATGACATGAAAGCTGCTAATTCACTCTGATTGGTCTCACCAAAAATGCCACTCAGTGGTTTTGACCACTACAAAAGTATGCACCAATGAGATAACTTAAGGCAGGTGAAGCAACAAGCAATCAACTAGCAGCAATATTACAGAGAAGAGAACAGGAAACAAAAAACATTGATCTCTCTCTCAACCAAATTTACCTTATATATTATACTCTAAAGAGTTTCAAAGGAATAAACATTTAGTCTACCATTCCTCCCACCGATTTCTAGAGTATGGACATAAAGGCAAAATTTGAAGCTCTTTCCAAATCTATCTATAAATATAGATATACTTTGGAATTTGAGAACTAAATGAACTACATGCTTTGCACTCTCTACTATGAACCTTTGTTTTTTTAATGGGTTTTGAGGTTGTGGGCTTTTGGATCTGATATATTGCAATTGTGAGCCACTGGGATTCTTGAGAGAAAAAAATGTATGCTTCTAATACAAAATTTTGATGAACTTGCTCATGAAGCATAGTTGAGTTTTGGCTAACAATTGACAAAAATGAAAGGGTCGCCTAGTCATCTCTAGCTAGACATGGAAAACACATAAAAATATTTTAACAAGAAGTTAAAGGACCATTCACAACACCTGTATTTTGCTTAACCACGACTGAACAAGACTAACAAAGTCCTCACAAGTACTTGAACCATCAGAGCTACACAGGGATCTGTCTAGGATCTCATCAGGGCTCTGCAAATTAGAAATTGAACAACCTCATTTTCAAAGAAGCACATAAAACTACAATCAAGACATCATAATATGCGATGCATGAAATGATAACCCATAAGACAATGGTCAATAGATTTGGGTACAGAAAACTGATAGAAAATAGTAAGCAATTTATCAGTGTCAAATCCAACCGAGTCTCCAAACAGTTCACTTTATGTAGCATGGGCCATATTCACAAAAGAGACCAGAAACCACCAACAAAAGAAAGTGTCAATTAAACACCAATTTAGATATAAACACCAAGCAAATTATTGGAAACTAATAACTACTAGTCACTTCATCCATGTCATACATAGATACATAGGTATGACCTCAAATTTATTAATATGCCAGTAACGTAATCAACAAAAACAAATTTATAGACTATAATACTGGTATAAACTATAGAACATGCCACTAGTGAGCATACATGGAGAAAATGTGCATTATAATCTTAAGTTAATTGCTATAGATCTTAAAATTTCCTGCAAAATACTGACCATAAATGAGCTAACAAAAGCATGGGAATGTGTCCCACGAAGAGGTATCCCGAATAACCTCCCAGCTGCAACATTGCTGAAAATACAAGGCATAAAAACAGAAACAAACCAAACAAAACATTAGCTTAGATCAAGAATCTACATCAGTGAAGACTTAAAAAAGGAACATAACCTCTGAATAGCTACAAGATCATGCACAAATACAGAACAAATATTAACTTTATTTCATTCAATCACTTGAGAAACTTGATGTACGAAACCACAAAACCAGTGTACCAAAGGCTACAAATATTTCAGCAAATCACCTTGTAGCATCAAAACCTCCCATATAGCAATACTTTGAAGCCCCTATAGCGCCATCAGGTCCCTGCAATTAACATGAATGGAAATCTTTCACAGAGAGAAACTCCAATATTAACACTTCAAATAAGAGAAAAGAAAAAAGAATTCATTAACCTGAGCCCGTCGAAGCCCAAACTCAAGCAACATTTTAGAGTTTCCAGCAACAAGTCTATGTCTAGCAGCATTTGTAGCCACTAAGGACGAAAAATTTACAAGATTCAGAACAGGAGTCTCCAGCAATTGAACCACCTAAAACGAAAAATTTAGATACCAAGAAAAATTAAGATGTAAAACAAAGGAGCAGAAAACTGGCACTAAACTGATGTGGCAAAAATATTAGTTAGATGGTACTCACAGCGACTGGCCCTTCAACTCTAAGCAGGGGTACCTTTGGGAAAACAACTGTTCCCTCTGAAATAGCATACACTTCGACATCAGAACAGTCAATTTCTCTTAGATAACTGAAAAAACCCTCCTGTCATTAGCAGAAAAAACGAGTAAGTTAACCATCCAATATACAGGCACGGTTCACAAAAGAAACAAACTATAACCAGCCTATTATCACTTGAATCATCCGCAAAGTAGTTTGCTTTACCTCACACGAACCAGGCAAGCTTTTACGGATGAAGGAGATCTCTACGTCAGTTAATTTGAAATTAGCAATGAGCTTTATACATTCTTCCAAACCAGCAAACACTGTAAATTCACCACCAAATGGATTCTTCCGAAAATATAGATCGAACCTGAAAGCATGTTACAAAACGACAGAAATCCTGTTAAGCCAAAACTCAAAACATTCGACGTTCATAATCGAAAAACTTCCCATTTTTCATTTTTCATGTCTGAAAAATAACATGTAACTAAATGAAATCAGTTGAACAACTAACTTTCCGAATTTCGGAAACCTTATGTTTTCCAGTAACTAAAATCAACTTAAGCTTCAAATAATCAATAAATTAAA